ATAACATCTAGTTCATCACTGAGAGAAATCAAGAGGTTAGAACAAGAGTAAAAGTCAAATCAAAAGTCTACCAGGAAAAAAAAAAATCATAGCAAATCTTCCTACGCAACAAGCCAAACTGCCATTTCCTTGTATCGCCATGCAGCTGTCTGTGCTTCTGGCGGGCACCTTGACAGGTACGTTCTGTCAGTAATATCAAAAGTTCAAGTAAAGAAAACAACTAATGTGTGACCTCATATGTCTCCATTCATGCCAACAACATTCTAACACATATAATCGGCTACTTATACAAGGCTGCTCTGCACTCAGATTCAGGTTAGATAAGGCATATTTTATTGACGTTTACTCTCTATGCTGAACAGTCCTGGGTGCCACAGAAATGTCAGAGATGTGTAAAGCATGTTTTTAAGCTTATAGTTTAACAGGGTCATAGGCTATGGACAAAACAGCACATAAAGAAAGCAGTTGTAAAATAAGGATTTTATGAAAGTCTGTGTTCACTTCTTGAGCTAGTTTTCGAGGAAGGGTAAGATTTCAATAAGAGGAGAGAAGGAAATGGCATAAAAAGGAAAACTGTACAAACGTAGGAGGTTGAAAGGATGCTTGGAGAACAGTGAGGACACCAATTTGAGTAGGACAGGGAAATTCTGTGAAAATGAGAGGCATTTGGGTTTTACTTTGGAGATATCCAGCTATTGAAGACTTTTAAGCTAAGAGTGATAAAGCAAAAGTTATATTTTTAAGACGACTAATCAATGATACAATTGGTAAGAAAGGGAAGGTATGAGGCAGGTCAGATAAAAAATTACAACAGTCCTGGAACCCTGGAATCTCAAGTGTACATATCAATGTCAGCTGAAATTACTAAGTTTTCTATATGTATCTTAACTATGGTATAGAATTTCTGCACTGATCTAGAATATTGGGACTTACAATTCCTTTATTTTTCATTTTCACCTTAGATAATAACATCTGGCTTGGAATTTTTATTTTGCCTTTCCTTACTTATAAGAATGATCATTATTCTTTATATATTGGTAAAATCAACAAGATTCTATGTCATTACTTCATTAGAAGAACATTTAAAGCAATGCTAATCCCACTTTGTTAAAATGACTCTTTTATATCACATACAATAAATTTTCCCCAAAACCCCATTATTTTCCAAGGAAAACATATCTTTCTTTCTTACAAGCAGATTAGGCCTACAAATCCAAAACAAAATGAAATGGAGTTAGCCAATGAATCTGTAATAGTTACCTTATGTACAGTTTTTAACAGATTGGCTGCCCTAAGAGTAGAAACTGCTGTCTTTAACTTGTGTGTTCATACAAGGATGCCCTTCTAGAAAAAGGATCAAACCAAGAAAGTTTTCATTGTATCACAAATTAAAATAGTGTAATTCTATTTGATTTTCCAAAAGAAGAAATTTAACTATAAAGTTACATTTCACTTAAAAAACACTGATCAAAAAGTAATTTAGATTAGTAAAACATATTACATATGCCTCACAGAATATTATATCCAATTTCCAGTAAAGCAGATTCTTGGAAAGGCAGACAAATAGATATTAATGTAAAAAAAAAAAGAAAGAAAAACAGAAATAATTTATTTCGTTTGGGTCACCGAAAGAATAGCATATGTTTAGGGACTTGTGAGTAAGCAGAGGACGATGTCCCAGTTTGTAAGAGAGCTTTTACCTGCTTTCATGACTCTCCATTTGAGTGTAAAAAATCTGCCATTTATCAGTGACCACTGGACACTCTCCAATGGTCAGTCCAGCTTCCTACCCAGAGGAGCCCGAGCCAGAGTGGCTCGGCAAGTCAAACTACCCCCAGCCTGAAGGAGCAAAGTACAAAGATTGACGACCAGACTCAGGAAGGGAAAGGTAAAAAAGAGGCAGAAAGGAAGGGGGAAGGGAAAGGGGGAGGCACTGATTAGCCAAGACAGAGGTCCCAAGGACACACGCCAGTCAAAGAGAGAAATGCTTTCTTTACCTGAAGAATCTCAAGCAGGGAAGGAATTTTTTTTCTTTTTAAGATAAACAAGGGTACTGGTTTGAAATTCAGTGAAGGAGTCTGACTCATATGAACAAACTGGGTTAGTAGCTTTATAACAACCCTGAGTGGGCAAGGAACTTTCATGTGTTAACAGAAAAGGTAGCAATTCAATAAATTTGTTGAAAGATGTCACGTTTCCTAAAAACTACCTAATTTTAAGGTTCCTGCTTATAGTGTTTCCAGGTCTGCATGAGATTTTTTAATTAAAGGGAGAATGGGCGGAGTGCAGAACACAGCTGAAATTTTTACAGCATGGAAATAAAAGTATTTTTAAACCTTCTTGAGGGTGAAGAGTTAGGCAAGAAGTAATACGTGGAAACTGTCAAGTGCTTCTCTACACACCCACCCACCAGATACCATCGCAGCCGGCTGGGAGCAGTCTCCCTCTTCTTGCCTGACAGCTTCACTTTCTTTGAGGTCTGGAGCTGGTGATCACACTGGCCCGTCATGGTATTTTCAGTGAACAAAGTAGTTACTCAACAGGGGAAAAAGCCACAAAGAAGCAGCGCAGCTGCTTCTCCACCCGTGATGCAAGTGCAGGATGAGCCCCGGGCCGCCACCGCCGCCTCGGCTCCTCCGTGACGTCCGGGAGGGGTATCCCCGGCTCTCAGGAAGTGGTGGCCGCGGGCAGCTCCGCCCCCACGAGACTCCCGGCTGGCCGAGCCGCGGGGTGGCAGGACTGCCGGGCCTGTGGAGGGCGGGCGGGGATCACCGTCCCTCCACCAACGCGCGCGCACACCCCGCCGGCCGCGCGCCCCACCCGGCCTCCCGCGCCTCCTCTGCAGGCGACTCCGCGCCTTGCTCAGCTCCCTCTGCTCAACCCGCGCGGCACGGAGGAAGCCGCCCGCGTCCCTTGCCTCCCGGGGCTCACACCCACTCACCCCGACCCCTTTGCGCCTAGCCCAGCCCGGCATCACCGGTCAGCAGACGGGGTCGAGCTGAGTCCAAGATGGCGACTCCGCTGCCCCCTAACCCCTCCGCACTCCGGGCGGGGTCAGGGCGCCCCCTCACGCGGCGCGCTCGCGCCCGAGGCCCGGCTAAAAATAGACAGGCCCGACTATATTTGGTTCGGCCGGATCCCGGCGCGGCCGCGCGCGCCCCGCCCCGCCCCGCCCCGCCCCGCCCGCCCCGCCCCGTCCCGTCCCGTCCCGCCCGCCCCGTCCCGCCCCGCGCGGCGCTGAATGGAGAGGGGCGGAGGGTGACCGAGGGGAACCTACTCCGCTATCTGCGGCGCGCGCCGGCGGCGGGGCCCGGCCAACAGCCGAATTTAGTAACATCGCCTGCGTCAATCACGCGCCTCGCGTGCGTCAGCGCCGCGCGGCTCCAGGTCCTGCTCCCCCCTCCCGCCTTTGAATGGATACAATGTAGCAGCGCCCTCCTTCCTTCTGAGTCTGGATTGGAACCCGCCGCGGCGCAGAGGCTCGGTTCCTCTCGGCTGGGTCAACTTTGTGAGCATCCTCCCACGGTCTTCTCCACTCCAGCCTGTCTGAAGTGGAAGTGGAGGCGAAGAAAGATATATACATGTCAAATATATATGGCATATATATATAATTTTTATGTGTAGTTTTGCTTTCAAGTTTCTGGTCCTAGCTCGAACCTTCTTCGAGTCTGAAACGTGCTGTTGACAATGGAATCCTCCCCCTGAACTCTGCCATCCCCACACGCAAAGATTTTTGGGACAGGTCAAAGAAATAAAATGTCGTATCTGACTCAAGCGGACCATTTTGGGCCATGTCTGTCTGCAACGTTTCACTCAAATATTTCCTTCTCAAAAATTTATTTCTGAAAGAGGTTGCTTTCTCTCAGCAGCAACCTTTGGAACTGGGAGACTTAATATATTTTTGTTTTGTTTTCAACAAGAAACTCACACTTAAATCCATCATTTCCAGGAAGAATTTTCTCTCTCCCATACAGTCCCAAGAGACCACAGCAAATCCCCTAGCGAGGGACTGACTAATAAGTCCTGTTGATTGATTTTGAAATGTCTCATTTGAGAGATGGGAGGAGGGAGCATCTGCAACCATCAAAAAAGTGAAAGTGCGAGTTGAGAGTTCCATTTCTGACAGGATGCTGGGGAGGAGGGATGATTTGCAACAGACACTCTCAGCTGTTCAACACGTGTGTGTTTGTTTTATACACATTAAGTAGTTTCTGGTGCAGCGTGCTCGTGGATGATGGATGTGCACTTCATTGGGCTATAATGTGTCCAGTTAGGAAACCCACGCCATAAGTGTAAAAAACTAAAATCTTATCCCCGGCACCCAGCAGCGGCTGGGAGCAGGAGGCAAATTAGCCTAGGCGCAGAGGGCCAGAGAGACGTAAACAGCTTTAGAACCACTGCACGAGGAAAGTGCAGCTGCACATCAGGGAGTCTTCGGATGGTGCCAGACTACTTCAGCACCGGCTGCCAGGTCACTCTGAGAAGCTGGCTGGCGAAGCCTTCCCTTTCGGAAGAGCTGTCCTCTCCCTTACCCCCTCGCCCTGGCCCCGTGCCTTGGGGCAGCCTCGGAGCCTCGCCAGCAGCACTCCTCCAACTCTACTCCACCCGAGCCTGACAGCTGGGCGGTCCCTCCTGACCCGCGGACAGGCTGCTGCACCCTCCCGGAGACGCGCGTCCAGGCGAGCAGCGTCGCTGCGATAGGAGTTGACAACATGGGTTCGAGAGGCCCCCCCCCCAGGCTGGGGCTGGCAGCTCGGCGCAATTTCCATTGTGCGGCCGTGCGAATAGCCGGGGAACGCGCGCGTGCACGCACAAGCACGCACACACACACACAAGCGCGCACACACACACACACACACACACACACACACCCTCCCTCGCACACGCGGAACCGGCTGGGCCAGGGGAGGGAGGAGGAGGGTGACGTAGCGTCCCATGGCGTCACATTGACGTCTCGCATTCCAGGCACTCTATGGAGAGGCCGCTAGGGCTCCTGTGGCATAAATGACGTGCCGAGAGAGCGAGCGAACGCGCAGCCGGGAGAGCGGAGTCTCCTGCCTCCCGCCCCCCACCCCTCCAGCTCCTGCTCCTCCTCCGCTCCCCATACACAGACACACTCACACCCGCTCCCTCACTCGCACACACAGACACACGCGCACACACACGCTCCGCACATACACTCCACTCTCTCCCGCGCGCTCACACCCCTCTCGCCCAGCGCCCTTGCCGGTGCAGAGCCGCGCGGCAGCCGGACGCCCCTCCTGGGCTCACTTTACAACGCTGACAGCGCCGGCAGTGACCGTGGAGGTGGGAACAGAGGCGGCATCCTACCCCCTGGTCGCGGCCCGAGACAGGACGCCGGCGAAACCTCTCGGCGGCGCTCTCCCATGAATCGGGATCGCAGCATCTCCCGCCAGCCGCTCACCGCCTCTGGGAGCCGCTGGGCTTGTACACCGCAGCCCTTCCGGGACAGCAGCTGTGACTACCCCCCCAGTGCAGATTTCGGGACAGCTCTCTAGAAACTCGCTCTAAAGACGGAACCGCCACAGCACTCAAGTACGTATGAGATTTGCCCAGCTAATAAGGGGACTTGCTTTAAAGTTGGCGCGCTGGGAAGCGTCGCTCCTGAAATTGACAACTTTGAGTGTGGGGTCCACCCCCCATCGCCTCCCAGCTCCGGCTTTGCTTGCCAAGCAGCGGGTGGGTTCTGATCTGAAACTTTTCCCCTGTAGCGGGCCCGCGGGGACTCTGGAGCTTGTGGGATCCCTCACCCTACCCGAAAAGGCGAAAAGCCTCTAACAAAGAGGAGGACCGGGATTTGTGCAGTAGCAGCTCCGGCGATGTAATTCTGGGTATTTCGGCTCTAGTTGTCATGGTAATGATGCTCTCGGCGGCGGCGGCGGCAGAGGCAGCGGCAGGGAGTTGCAACCCCGGTGATGAACGGCAGTAATTTTCCTGCCTTTTTAGTAGAATTGAAAATAAGGGCTCTGGTGGGTCCAAGTTAATGTACCTAATGGTGGAATGGAGCTGGGTGTCTGGGAGAAAAGCTTAGGAGGGAAGAGGCCTGGGCAGTAGCGGCCAGAGTTCGCGAGGCGTTCGGAGGCTCTCAGGAAAGAGGGCGTAATTGTAGGAATGTGGCTTATTGTATTGAAATGAGCCTGGGGCTCCATTAGGCACGTCTGCCTGGCGTCGCCGACTTGCCGATTTACACTTTTCCTTTCGGAGGTAATAGGGTATAATTGCCGACTCCCGCGCCCCGACACGCGTGGGGACCGCGTCCCTCTCCTCCCGGCCTTGGTTCGGTGTGGGAAAGGCATGCTTTACTTTTCACGGATAGAACTCGCGCCTTTGGAGAAGTTGCTCCGCGTGTTTTACTCTTAGTAGAAATGAAAGTTCTCGGTCGTGAAAGGAGAGCGGTCATGCGAGCGCAGAGATTGACTTCCAAAGACTCCTCTTGAACCTGTTGGAAGCTTACGGCAGTCATAAGGAAAAAAGCGTTGGTCCCTTGATTTACAAGAACGTTCTTGGAGGTTGCCTGTTGTTTACATCCTCGGAGTCTCCAGAGGGAAGAGATGTAAGGAGTTTAGTAATCAGAAATCTCGGGCTGCTGTCCCAGGGCCTTGCGGTGCCGGGAGAGGTGCAGAGCGCTGTTTAGTCATTCCATGGCGAACCGAATCCTGTATCTTTTCCCACGATGGAGAAATGCTTTATAGAACCGAGTTGGGGAAAGGAAAGCTGCCCAACGCGGATACTGGGCACAATGAATGAAATCACTTTATTGGAGTTATTGTGGCTAAACAAGATGCGTGTAATGTGACTATCAAAGACTCATTAGGCCACTGCTACCTCTCCACCCTCTCCCTCTCCCCTCAATGCCCCACCTCCGTCCCTGGGACCGTGCACTCGCAGAAATTCTCCCCCGTGGTTTACTTCTTCTCTCTCGGTCTTTCTGAGAATCTCCGTCTTGTCCTCTCTGTCTTTCCCTTTCAGTCGGTCTCTCCTCCAGTCCTCTTTGCCCCCGCCCAACCTCCGCCCCCGCGGCTCCCCTGGGTTGGAAACTCCGCGGAGGAGCCCGGGTCACAATAGTGTGTATCACGGTTTCCTCCACACACTTCACCACGGGGAGGGGAACACGGGGGTGTTCCTTTAGTCTGCCCACGAGAAAGAAAGGGACTTTAACAGAGGTAGTTATTTCTTCCTAATTTACAACCCCGAGGTTCTCTGCTTCGGACCCCGGCGGCCGCTAGCCGGAGCGATAGAACGTGTTTCCAGGAGCAGAGGCTTTGCCTAGGTAACGGGAGGGTTGTGGGGCGGGGGGTGGGGGCGGGGGGGCGGAGAGACCGATATGGCGCTCTGCTGGGCTGAAGGAAGGGGAATGTGGTTGTCTCCAGAGAACGCTGGACCATTGAAAGAGGAACCCCTTCCTACCCTTTCCTTGGGGACGAGCGACCCACGCCCACCCGAGTTCAGAGGCCGCCCCTTAGAGAAAAACTCCGCTTGAACGGCATCGGGGTGTGAGGGGAAGCTAAAATGAGGGCACCCACTGGAGAAGGCAGAGGGAGTTGCTGGAGACCCCCACTGAGATACGGGGGGACGAGAAGCACATGGTGCCACGGTTAAAAGATCCACCTATACCAGCGCTACACCTTTCCATATGAGCAACTCGGGCTGAGGGCGGCAAAGGAATCCCCCATTTCCTAGCCGTCCAGGGTTTCCCGAACCTGGTGGCTCCGAGCTCCTTTTTTCTCTTCCTGCAAGCAAGCTCCGGTGGCGGGAGTGGCGGGAGTGGCGGGAGAAAAAAAACTTACACGACCCTTAATGGCCAGCGCACCTGGGAGGTTTTTTGCTGGGTTTGGGTTTATTTTTATTTATTTATTTATATATTTTTTCTCCTGCCCACGTTCCTACCCTTCCAGCTGTGCCCACCCCCGAGCAAAGGGGGCGCCAGAGGCCAGACTTTGGGGCAGCCCGATCCTTCCCCCTTCGTCCCCACCTCTCCTTATGCCCCCCCACCCCACCCCCACCCCCACCCCGCTGCTAGCTAAGCGGCGCTTTCTGCTACGAAGTTTCGCTAGGCTGTGAGCTGAAATGTTCGCCCCGGAGCCGCGTTAGGCGCCCTCCGGAATGTGCCCCCTCAGAGCAACCGGTGGCCTGGAGCATCAAAGCTACCCACCCTCGGGGACACCACCTGCTGGGTATAGGGGACCTCCCTCCTCCCGCCCCACCAACCGAGAACGCGGTCTGCCTCACCACCTTGCTCCCAGCGCGGGCCTTCCTTCCTCTGTGCCCTTTTGTTTGCTTGACCCCTGGCCCCCTAAACTCGCGACTAATAGAAGCCAAGCTCCATTAGCATTTCGAATGAAAAGCGCAGACTTTCTTAATTCCTCGGGGCATTCATGCATTCGTTCCGGACCCTGTGCATTTCCTATGCAACGTGTAAGATTTGTGTTTGAGGGGTGGGGGCGGGCAGAATTGGAAAATGGCTATTTTCCGCTCGTGCACACTCACTGACTCCCAAATTTGGGCCGAACTCTCCCTCAAGTGTTCTCCTTTTTTCAGCTTTCCTGATTTCGAGAGCTCAGAACTAATTGTGGGGGCAGAGATCAGTTCGTGGGAGACGACAGGCTGCAGGGCTTTTAGCCTCAGATGGCCGTACCACAAAACCGCAGTGAGCGCAGTGGGTGCAGACGGCCTTCCCTATGCTTCTGCCAAGGACGATGCTCCTTGCCCAGGGACTCTGGGAACCCTAAGCACCTTAACTTGGCCTTATGACAATTTTTTTTTATAATTAACTAGCGTTTCTACAGGTACCTGTCCCGTGCTTTTCACCCACCCCCCAAGCCCCTATTTGCCCAACCCAGGAATCATGACCCAGCCTGGTCTCACCGCCATCTCTGTCCTCTCTCCCGGTGCCTGCAGAGCCCACTACGGGAGAGCGCAGCCCGGCAAGCCCGGGCCCAGAGCCTGGACCCTCAGCGGAGCGGGGCAATACCGCTTCGCCTCGCCGGACGTCCCCGCCTCCTACACTCTCAGCCTCCGCTGGAGAGACCCCCAGCCCCACCATTCAGCGCGCAAGATACCCTCCAGGTAGGTCTGAAGGCACAAGGAGAAATGAGTGGAGGAACCACACACCCATTGGGCTGGCTGGTCAATTTGCCCAGTGCTAGCACGGTGGCTGCTGGCCACATATTTCACAGCACAGGTGGCTTCTTCGCACGAAGCTCCTCTCTATACCACACCCTGTTGCTACCAAGTGGAGCAGCCAGATTAAATTAAGCGTTGTATTTCCTCCAAGCCATTTTTCCTAAGAAAAATGTAAATACTCCAATAGATTTAGGACCTTTTATACATTTTAATGTCTTAATTTTTGCCCTTCTTTTAAATATTCAGTATACATATGTATAATTCATATATATATGTGTGTGTTAATGGAATCACAGAGCGACAAGGGAGCATTTTTGTTTGTATAAAAGCAAAATCATTTGGGTATAGAAGTTTGGATGGTTGCAGGTCAGAGGAAAAGGGAGACACAATTGAGCTGAAAGCCAAATTTAAGTTTGGCAAAAGAAAAGACTATAGGTTTGGTTTGCACCACCTCTTTACAAATTTGTTAAAGGGCTACTAAGTACCAGACCTGTGTAAGCACAGAAATATGCAGATAAATAGAACATAGATCCAGCAAGTTTGTCTTCCAACTGGAAACCAGAAAGACACAAAGAAGAGCAATAGGTAGGTGGGGAATGGCAGTGAAGAATGACAGAAAAGACTAAGAGAGAAATCCTAGAGGTGCTGAAGGAAGGAGAAAAGATAAAGACCAGGCAATGTTCTTTCTCTTAAATGATTAGCCTTTTTTTTCATCCCCACAACTGGACAGCAAGATAAGTAATCCTTTCACTTCAATATAGTGAGTGTGTTTTTAAGGCCCTGCTTGAAAAAAAGACAGCCTTGAACTGGTCTCTCCTCATCACTGCTTCTTCCAACAGGCCCTCATCACCTTTTTTCAAGTCAAGATTTCATCCCATACACGCATGACTCAATCAGATTTGGAAATGTGGGTAAGAGAAAGTTGTCAAAGGAAATGTGAAGTACTCACTTTTCTATTAGTCACACCTTTTACACTATACACTCCAAACAGACATTAAGCACCTGGTTTTCCTTTGGCTCAGAAAAACCAACCACCAGAAACTGCCCATTTTACCACTTCCATTTAACCATAAAGGAAAATAATTAGACAAATCACCCACTGAAGACTCTAATTCTCAGGGCCTTATCACCCAGTTTGCCTTCTCTGAACAACAGTAAGCACCTTGGACACAAAATGCTTTGGGGACCCAACGTAGTCAAACTGGAAGAGAAAGCAAATTCAGAAGTTGCCTTCTTCTTTTTCAGGGAACTAATTGTTCAGGTATAAAAAAATACTTATACTAACTTACCTATTATGAGAGCTGTTAACTGTTGTTGTAACACAGCCACTGATATGTCTACTGATATGTCTTATTAGTCAGAATCAGGAAATATATATATTTTTTTCACTGAATAGCAGAAAGCAGATTTGGTGGGTGTGTTGTCACAATTGCTGATCTTTTTCTTCACAAATGGCACAAACTCCCCCAGTCGATTTCCTATGTTCTCACTTGGTGACCTAGCAGGCTGAAGTCATCAACAGGGATCCAGTTTGTTCAGTCCTGTTTGGAGGAGTGGGGAGGGGATGGGAAACATGGACCACAATGAGTGTGGGCAACCTCAGCTGGCACTCATAAAATGTTAGAATGTCACCATCTCATCTTTATGACTAACTCATAGGTTTGCAAATCAATGTGTGTGGCTTCCATATTTGAACCAACAGGGCGTTCACTGGTTTTTCCTTTGTTTTCCTGCCTTACTGCTGAGTACGCTCCAATTTGTTTATAAAATTCAAAGCCACTTCTCACAAATCTAAGATTGTGAGGGAAGACATCAAGTACTCAGATCTGGTGGAGATAGGTCAAGGGAGAGAAAATGGGTGCAGATACCTCCTGGGGAAGAGTCCAGGTTCTGACGTCCTGTGGCGCCTTCCTCTGCCAGGGATTCAGCTGTCTTCCCAGGGAGGAAGAAAGTAAGCATGCAGCCTTAAGGCTGTGCTAGGAGAAGGAGGAGAGGATGTCACTTTCTCTGTTTCCCAGATTAGAGAGCAGAATCCCATGCTGCCTATTAGCTAGGAAAGGAGTGTCGACTTGCTTCTGAGCCCCTTTTCCCTGTCCCTGCAGATATGCCCTGCGTGCAAGCCCAGTATAGCCCTTCGCCTCCAGGGTCCAGTTATGCTGCGCAGACATATGGCTTGGAATACACCACAGAAATCATGAACCCCGACTATTCCAAGCTGACCATGGACCTTGGCAGCACAGAGATCACAGCCACTGCCACGACGTCCCTACCCAGCTTCAGTACCTTCATGGAGGGCTACCCCAGCAGCTATGAACTCAAGCCCTCCTGCCTGTACCAAATGCAGCCGTCAGGGCCACGGCCTTTGATCAAGATGGAGGAGGGCCGCGCGCATGGCTACCACCACCACCATCATCACCATCACCACCACCACCACCATCACCAGCAGCAGCAACAACAGCAACAGCAGCAGCAATCATCCATTCCTCCTCCCTCTGGCCCGGAGGACGAAGTACTGCCTAGCACCTCCATGTACTTCAAGCCGTCCCCACCGTCCACCCCCACCACGCCGGGCTTCCCCCCGCAGGCAGGGGCGCTGTGGGACGATGCGCTGCCATCTGCGCCTGGCTGCATCCCGCCTGGCCCGCTGCTGGAACCGCAGATGAAGGCGGTGCCTCCGGTGGCCGGTGCGCGCTTCCCGCTCTTCCACTTCAAGCCCTCGCCGCCACACCCGCCGGCGCCCAGTGCGGCCGGCGGCCACCACCTTGGTTATGACCCGACGGCCGCCGCCGCGCTCAGCCTGCCGCTGGGAGCCGCAGCCGCCGCGGGCAGCCAGTCTGCCGCGCTCGAGGGCCACCCGTATGGGTTACAGCTAGCCAAGAGGCCGGCCACGCTGGCCTTCCCGACGACACTTGGCCTTGCGGCCTCCCCTACCGCGTCCAGCCTGCTTGGAGAGAGCCCCAGCCTGCCGTCGCCACCCAACAGGAGCTCGTCGTCAGGCGAGGGCACGTGTGCTGTGTGTGGGGACAATGCAGCCTGCCAGCACTATGGGGTGCGCACCTGCGAGGGCTGCAAGGGCTTCTTCAAGGTGAGCGCATGCCTCCTCCACTGTGTCCTTCCGCTTTGAAGCCAGCATTGAAGTGGGTGCCCTTCCTGGTTTGAGAGGTGTAAACATGCACTGTGCATTCCTTATGCCCTTTTCTGAGGTGTTAACCTAAAGACCCATGTTGCCCAGATAGATTTAAGGAGTCTCCACCTGACCTGACATGGCCTTTTGGGGATTTTCCTCAAGAGAGCTTTGAGCAGATTTGCAGATGCATTTATGGCTTTAACAATACAAAAACCTCATTGTATTCCTTGTCTGTCCATCCAGGGTCTCTAAGAGGATAGGGTCTGCTTGGCAGACCTGGACATTTGGGTCTCACTTAATCCTCACAGAAAGAGCTGAGACCCTACAATCAGACAGACCTGAGAATTAATTCTGATCACTCACTATTTTTTATTAACAGTGTCTTGAAGGTAGATAACAATTATCCGTGTTTCGTAGAGGAGAAAATGAAGGTTCTGAAGGGCAATTCAACTGCCCAGGGACACACATTCAGTGAGATGGAGGCATGCTGCCAACTCATGTTTGTGAAAAGGTGTGAGTGCATACCTTTTCATAGCTCTGTGGTGGCAAAAGAGGCAGGAGCAGGGTAGATGGGGTTTGGGACAGCTCCCTCCATAGAAGATAGAGCTTGGGTCTCCACCAATCTTGTAGGAACCCTCCCCTACCTCTGTGCCACACACTGTGTCAGGTTTCAGCATCGTTCATGCTCTCATAGATCCAGAGCAGAATTTTACAGTGGGAGGGTCATCAGCCTTCCCCTACTTTACCTGTGAGGAAGCAGAATCCTAGCGTGATAAGGCCTTGGGCAGGCTTATGTATTGATTTTGCTGTTAGTGGGATGGGTCCTGCTGGCTTTCCTTGACTCTGAAGTTCATTGCTCTTTCCACCACTTTGTTGGGGGGATGGGAGAGAGTTCATTCTCTTGCTGCTCTGCCTTTCACCATTGAGTCCCAGAGGCCTCAGGCATTTCTGTACCACCCTCCTCATTCTCCCCTATTCACTGACCATTATTTGCAGACATACAAAGTCACACAAGGGAAACAGAGACTGAGTGGGTAACTAGAATTTGGGAGACCAATAGACTGTATCTGGGAGCATGCTGGAATTGGGATCAGAGATTCAAATAGGAGCCCTAATTTGTCACCAACTAATGGCATGACATTGGGAGTGACACTTCTTCCCTATCAGGAAATAAAACTCAGAGAAGGGCTGTAATAAGTGAGATAAAAGCACATACAAAAGCATTTTATCATCTTCAAAAGACCATAAAACAATAGCACACTATTAAATGAAAACTACAAAGTGTTTATAAACATGCAGATGTTTGTGGATGGGTATACATACTAATAAGCAACAGTTATGTTTGATGTGGGGACGGCAATCGTGTCATTAATTGAATTCTGTAGATAAATGAGAAAATGCTTGTGGAAAGACTTTGCGTTATGTTAAGTGCCCTAGAGTTATGCAGGATTATGATGCTTTAAATGCTGAACCATGGCCATTTTTTAAAGGCATTTAGGTTAGCCTTTTTTTTTTTTTTTTTTCTGTCTTAACTACTCAAGCTCTACTGGGGTTACTGCAATTCAGTAACAGGTTTGAATTTTTTTTTTTTTTACAGCATTTAAGTGGAAATGCTGAAGGGCAGTGAAACAGGCAGCAGAGAGGGAGAATGGAAAGCAAAATAATTAGGAGAATTATAATGAATACATAAATAGAATCCCCCCTAAAATTAATTGAGAGTTTACCAATTAGAAATGTATTCCAAATCTAGAAATGTCCATTAGTGTTCCCCAACACTTCCTTCTTCTATAATAATACCTTGAAAACAAATCTATACTTGAAATGGTGGGGGTAGGTAGGGGGAGCACCACCCCACAGGTCTGTTAATTAAGGGAACTAGACCAGGTTTTACCCAGTGGCTTTCTACCATTAAATTGAATTCTTTAAAAATGTGACATGAAGTGCAGCTAATGATGGGAATTCAGTGATTGAACCGTAACGATCTCTCCCTGTCCTTAAAACTGTGCAGGCACACACAAATGTGCGGAAAGCTTCAGGTTATTGGGAAAATGTATACCTGAAGCAAAATGCCACCAGCACTTAAATTGGCATGTCGCCTTGAGGAGAATGGCAAGAAATAGTGTTAGAAATTGCTGCATGTTCAATGAAAGAGAGCTTCATTCAGGAAACGCAAGTTTCCTATCCTCACATGCTGCTGAAAATTTAAATGCTGGGATCTCAGAAGTATGTTTGTGTCTCAGAACTTTGTATTTTAAACTGGGCAAATAGGTCTTCGACTTGAGATAGGCTGACTTTGTTATAATTTTTTTTACATTTTTATATAAGCAATTCAGAAACTATACCCTAACATGAAATTATAAGGTAACAGGGTGAAAACTGAAACATGGGGGTGGTTGAGGGCGGTGGAAAATAAAGAAACAATTGAAAGTAAACCCAGACTTTTGGACACAAGATAGACCAAAGTCCAAATTATCTGGACTTTTTTTTAAATACAGTTTTTAAATGCAACCCAGAATTGCCAAATAAATTCCAACTTTCTGCTCTATATGGGGTTGTGTAGATCCAGGTAGATTTCTGAATAATTTCACCCTAAGTGTTAAAAATGCATCCATTGCACAAATGTTTTCAATTAAAAAAAGCAAGCATTCTTTTACATTTGGAGCATAAAATATGTTTAATTATTTCTCCATGTGTCATTTCAAAATCCTATGTGATTCTGAAAAATACGATGTTATTTTTATATCTGAGCCCAAGTTTTATGGTGTGTCTTTTACAATATGGCTATTTTGGTTCTGTGTCAATAGTCATTTATGAAATAAGCTAGTAATAGGAGTTTTCACTGAAAATATATGGCTTTCATATTTCTTTCTTTCTCCTGTTCTTATTTGTCTTTGGTGGTGTTTTTTTTCTTTCTTGGATATGATAGTGATTTTCTGTGTCCAATTTTAAGATTGCTTTCAAAAGTAGTAAGTGGCCAATTTAGCATATTTATCCTTTAAAGATAAACTACACAGGTCAATTAAGTGAATTTCTTTTTGAATTGAAATGTTATTTTCTATATGTTTTAACGAGATAAATCCTGATTTTGCTTTTTATGATTTCCTCTTTATTGGATAACAAAGCCAGTTACTGTGATATTTGACTTACAATAGTGATAGCATACAAAGTACATCCCAGATAACTTTGATTTTATTTTAATAAGGTCAGCAATAATCAGGGGAGTGGAACAAGTAGAAAATTGTTCCCAAAGGGATATTAAAAGTGGAGATAATCTAATCCTCCAAGGTATGATATGTTGACCTGGTAATTTCAGATATGATTTTATCATTCAGAGTTGGGTGTCTCCTGAGACTTGCTTCAGAACAATCCAAGATGATTTTCATTGTCAGCAGCTAACACTAATAAAATTGTTTTTCCTGCAGGCTAGCGTGTTAGGAAATTAAATTTATCTAATTATACGAATTGCACTGTCGCTTTTCACATTGTAATTAAAATACATCTTGTCAGGTCTTACCTCTTTCCAGAAACTGTTAGTTGACTATCTCTGTATTGTGTTTTCTCAGAGAACGGTACAGAAAAATGCAAAATATGTTTGCCTGGCAAATAAAAACTGCCCAGTAGACAAGAGACGTCGAAACCGATGTCAGTACTGTCGATTTCAGAAGTGTCTCAGTGTCGGAATGGTTAAAGAAGGTATGAATGTAACGCTTTTCAATAGTTTGCTTATGTGTACTCTCAGATATCATTGAAAAAAATGTTAATATCTACATTGGGACAGAAAATTTTCCTAGTTTCTCTTTCCTTCCGGTATTTTGCTTTTATGGTATATATTTACATTTAAACATAATTAAGGACTACTTTTTTATAATTTCTCAAAATCAATAGGGATCCTTGTACATACATCTTTGTTCTATTTAAGGCGACTTTCAGGGCTAATTCATTACCAAATGTGAGTGTGAGGTGTCTTTTCTGCTGCTTGTTTCAACTCTCACTTAATCTTTATTCCAAACTTACTGCCACGTTTAAATCATTGATCTCATTAATGATTGCCCAACTCTAATGTGTTTGGATTCCTTTTTGTGATTTATGTCTATTCAGAATGTAATCCTTAAACATTGTTTCTTCTCTCTCTCTCTCTCTCTGCCTCAGTTGTGCGTACAGACAGTCTGAAAGGGAGGAGAGGTCGGCTGCCTTCCAAACCAAAGAGCCCACTACAGCAAGAACCTTCTCAGCCCTCTCCACCTTCTCCTCCCATCTGTATGATGAATGCCCTTGTCCGAGCTTTAACAGACTCAACACCCAGAGATCTTGATTATTCCAGAGTAAGTTTTATGATGTCCTCCTGCTTTCAAATGAATGATCAGGAGCTCCATGCATAATAGTAGTAATAAGAGTTGATCGAATGACTTTGTGCCTGGAGCTGTGCTAGGCTGTATTCTACCTTTTCTATAGTTATCATTTCATTTAGCAATTCAGTGCATCCATTGCACCAAGTAATTTTTTGCTTTATTGGATCTCTAAATACCTTAACAAATGACCCTGACCGTGTTGCACCTGTCATACCCATTATTGCAGGATTCCTGGTGGAGGTGCCAATGAAAATTTGCACAGGTGAACTACAATTTGTAGATTTCTTTCATGGTCTAGACAAAGTGACTCCTGTTTTTTTCATCTTGTGATCAAACCTTCTGGGTGGGTGAGCCTCCAGTTATCTTTAAGCAGTCTACCCAGTTGCATCGGCATTGATTGACCTGCTCCTTATTCAGAAGGATTAGACCATTGATGGAAAGGAGTGAGCTCTGGCCTTGACATCAGGGGATGTTAGGAGGAGTGAGATGGAATGCCGCTTCTGCTGCTTCCTGCCTGTGTCACCTGGCTCCTGCTCTTGGCTTTCTCATCCCTACAGTGGAGATGATTACAACATTTAACCCTAGAGGGATGTTTTGAACATCAGTCACACAGGATTATGAAAACATTTTGAAAACCAAAAATGATTTACCAGTGTTTTTTAAGCCAACCAAAGCATGTCAACATTTTTATTTCATACAGAATATGGTAAAATATTACCAGTGTAAACTGTGCAAACCCCTCTCTCCAATTTGGAAAACACAAAGAGCTAGGAGAGGATTTTCTGAGGAAGTGTGCAAACACTACTGTAAGCCTGTTTTTTTTTTTTAAAAAAGTACTTCAAACTCTAGTAAAATAGTGTCTGACTGCAGAGGAAAGGAAAAGGAAAAAGATCACAATTGTTGAATATTTTTTACGTGCTAGACATTGTGGTACATCATCTCACTCATCCTTTAAACAACCACAAGTTGTAGGAATTGGTATCTCTCTGGGAGACAAGAAAACTTGAAAAACATACATGAAGAGATACCAGTGCAGGGGTCCCAAGTTGGTTGATCTGATTGGCACCTACCACCAGGTTGCCTTTCTCATGTCTAGTCAGCATTTCAAGCATCTGATTTACTGCCTGGCAAGTAGTGTGAGTGTGTCTTTGCTGTGTGCCCTCCTTTTAGGTTATAGTGTTGACAGAAATGATTGGTGTACCTGCTGTGATCCTCTTTCACTCATCCAAACCTCATTATAGGCTGTGAAGCCTCCTCTCTGCACCTGATCACAAGACTCCATGAGAAGCATGGTAGATCCTTAGCACCAAAGGTTGAGGACTCTTACTCTGATTACAAGTAGCATCTCTTGACAGAAGTCAGGTCTCAAATACTAGCATAACAGAATAATGCAGTGGTTAAAAGCTTAGGCTTTGGAAGCATGCAATCCTAAATGAAAATTTTCACACCATCATTTACTAGCTAGGTGACTTTGAGCAATTAATTAGACCTTTTAATACCTCAGTTTCATCATATGTGTTATGAGAGTTGTTCGTGAAGATTAAATATGATGATGCTTATCAATGCTTGAGCACAGTGCCCTGTATGTTGTTTCATTGTCAGCCCAAGTTCACATAACTAAAGCATCTGAGATACGATTAGGAGACAAGGACATTGGATGGAAAATCTGTGCTCCTTAATGCCAAGCTTCATGGCCTCTTTGATTTCCATGAGAGTGGGTATTTCAGTGAGGAGTATTTGGAAATGAAGACTCTGCTCCCTATGCAATTCCTAAGCATTCATGAAACTTCTAGACACTGCCTTGGCTAAAGTGTGGCACCCAATTGGACATTGTTCCAGGGTATTTGACATGACTATTGATGGTCAATCCAGAGAAGTGAGGCCCCCAAAGTAATACTTTTGTCCCCAAATTATTCAATTATCAGTCTTGTCCTAATTACTCCTTCAGTGGCAAAGCCTCCCTAGCACTTTGAGTTGTCCCGGCTGAGAACTGTCTCCACATTGAAAAATCAATCTAGTGTGTTTGCTTGCCTCTGCACCATTCAGTCTGTTAGTCTAGAGTCATCATCCTCATCAACAAACATTTATCCAATTTAATTGTTAGCTTTGTCCAAAATAGCAGATTGACCATGACACAGTCTGGGTCAACACTGATCCTACCTTTGGGGCCTGGCTCAATTTTGCAAAGCATATTTATTTTAATTGCATTGTTTTGGAATCAGGTTGAACCTCGTATCTTGGGTTCTTCTGCTTTTAGATAGCTTTACAAAATTATCAAAAATTGGACCAAAATCAACTAAATTAAAAGGCTTTTTAAAAAATACAGTGAGTTTTCATCAAAAAACTTGGATGAAGGCACAGGAGCATGCTGATCACATTTGCAGATGACAGAAAGCTGGGAGGGATCGCTAATATGATGGATGTCAGTATCAACATTCAGAGTGATCTCGACAGGTTGGAACAGGAAGGGCTGAAACCATCACGAAGAAAGTTAACAAAAATAAATGTGAAGCTCAGCACTTAGAATTTTTTTTTAAAAAGGGAGAGCCTTGGCTTGTCAGTGGTTCATGTTGAGAAGAATCTCAGGAGTTTATTCCATAGTTCCTCAATATGATCCAACTAAATTACCTGCAGGAGTAGTAGAAGTATGGGTCCAGAATCAAATTCAGTATGGTCCTGTGGACTCTATCCTGTCAAACCACACTTCAAGGACTGAGTTTAATTCCAAGCTAGGATGTAGGAAGAATATGAATATACTGTTTCTGAAAACTTATAAGGGATGGTTGCAGGAAATTGAAATATATGTAGAGACAGTAAAGGAGAAGATTTGGTGAAATTAGGTCACTCTTTTGCCCTGTGGCAAAATAAAAATAGACTGTTGCTCCCACTGGCAGATTTAGAGGGAGAAGAAAGGGAACCTCTTCTGACTTGTTCTGAGGTGAGCTGTATCAACCACACCAGCTGTGTAAAAATTAGATCGTCAACATAAGAAATAATCAAGGAAAATGTATAGTAGGATTCTTCACATGGGGAAAGGTTATTTTAGATGACATTAAGTCCCTTTCAACTCTTAAGATTTTGTAATCCTGAGGTTTACCTTATTGTTCCCAAATGCAATTGCTTGTGTAGACACATATGTATAAGAATATATGGCTAAGAAATTGGTACTATTAAGATTGGACTTGCTTTTTGTCTATCAAAACATTAGTACATAAAATGAATGAAACAAAATGAATTTATTGAGCACCTACTTTGAGCCAGGCACCATGGTATACATTCTTACATAATTTCACTTAAGCCCCCCAGGTCTGTGTGGTATCATTTATGGTCTCAGTAATTTTTTTTTTAAAAATTGTCATTTGTTGAAATTAAATTTTCATCATATCATTCTCCTTAATATTTTATATTTACAAATTCATAGACCTGGACATGACCTTGGGATCATCCAACCTTCATATTTTCAAAAGAGTAAATGAAGGCTTAAAGGAGTTAATTCACTTGCCCGAGGTCAGTAGTAGCACTGCTAGGATGGGGCCCAGGTCATGTGATTCAAGGTAATATGTTCCCATTTCATCATACTGCTACTTCTATTCAGTGGCAACTTACTGGATGTTTTAAAATAGAAACTTTACTAGCATTTAAAAACATTACAACAATAGCAATACATACCCCTTAGTTTTTTAAAAAGGTGAACCATTTAGAAGTAGATGCAATGAAAAACTCTTTTCTCTTCATTTATACCTGCCTGATCCCACTCCTCAGCAATAACTGATGTCAACATTTTAGTATATATCCATAATTTATTACATTTTAAATAAGAATTTGTCCTGTCAGGTGAGTCCAAGAGTTTAATTTGACCAATACAGTATAGTAAAGGTGCTAGTTTTCCTCCAGTAAATATGGTCAATTTAGGAAGGAGAAAATGCTTGCCAGCCTGTATGTTTTAATCTTCATGTATCAGCATATGTGTGTGTGCCCTAAAGGTAGAAAGTGAATGAGCAGTTCTCTCCCTGTCTGTGGAAAAGAAAGAGTTTTGTTCCAAATCACAGAGGGAATGAATGTTTCAAGAGGCCAGAACGAGAGCTCCTGAGCTCTGTGACGCATTCCTGGCTCTGGGACCGTCACTTCTCCTTTGGGCCAAACTTCTCTCCCTCAAAAATGAGCTCAGATCATTGTACATCAACGCAGTCAAAACATGTCACATTTGATTTGTTTCTCCTCGAAATGCTGCTATTCCCTGCCCCACAGTTGCTTTTAATTTAGCAATACAAGTATATATAGACATCAGGCTTGGCTTCAGTGCCTGCATAATTACTAATGAGAAAATATACTTAATGTCCTCATTAGGTGGTCATTCCAAGTATTTTTCAGCATACTAGGATGTTTTCTAGTAATCAGTGCCACTTAGTACAGTAACAGACTGAAAATACAAGAAATATTGCTCAGATAAAACCAGACACCAGAAAGTGCCATTTAAATGTTAACAAGATAGCTATAAGAAGCAACGTGGCTGACACATGTTAGACCTGCAGAGCAATCAACATGAGGACTGCAAAGAATAGTTTCATGAAGCCCCTTTTCTGCCACTCATTCATTCACTAGATGATTTCAGGCCAGTTCCTACCCCTCTGTGTGCCTCAGTTTCCTCATCTGAACGGTGAAGAGATTGTACTAAATGTGCTCCTGGGATCCCTTCCAGACTTATTCCTTCCTGCAATAGCCCTACAGTGTACACAGGTCAGCATCTTCCTAAGCGTGGTACCCACACTGCCTGTACCAGAAAGAGCTTGGTTTAACATGTAGGTTTCCAAGCCACACCCAGGCCTACTGAATCAAAATTGAATGGAGAAGAAGGCAGGTAGGAATCTTTTTTAACAGGTGCCTTGGATGATTCTTTGGCACACTAAGTTTAAGAGCCAACAATATAGTTTAAGAATGACAATTTGATTTTACCTTGAAAGGCCCAGTTTTTCTTGGGGTTGAGAAAGAATGAGCAATAGAGATTAAATTTTTTGAATGGCTGTTGGGTGTCAGGCCCTCTTCTAGGGCAGTGAGGGCATTGACTACTGAACAAGATGAGGCTCCTGTCCTTGTGCTGCTCACCTGCCAGTGAAAGAGAAAGAAGGTAAATGTGTGTGCACATATACATATACATATCTGCAATGATGTCATTGTTGGCAGGAAGAGAGTCTTTTAGGTTTTAGGGTCTTTTGGGGGAGGGGGACAGGCGGATCAGAAAAGGAGGAATGTGCGGGCAATATACTCATTGTCGGTTTTTTAAATGCTAAAGAATAACGTGTACAAAACTTGACTCCTAGAATGATCTCATATAAAATTTTTAGATATATAAAGACCCAGAGAAAAGTAACCTACTAAAGAGAGAGAAACATGTCCTTGGAGTATTTTACATATTTAGCCAGGGCTGAAAGACAGATAAATACTCGATTCCATTGTGCTACTGACGTATCACCGGCTAATTTATTAGGGTTGGTATTCTCCATTCGAGTAACTTATTTTAGGCCTTGGTTGTTGCTGATGTCTGACTTGTATACTCTGTTGTTGTCATATGAAACGTGCAGACCCATTTTAGTTTAAATAATATCCATTGCTGTTGTTTGCAGCTCCAGATTCTAGGTGCTTTGGAGAAATCTCCATTAAGCCTTGTGAATGTAATATTGTATCTCTGACTAGCAGTAAAGCCAGATTCTGATGGATTGAGTATCCCTGTAGACTGGATTTTTTTTCTTAAATTAGCATAAGTAGGGGAAAGTTCATTTTAAAAGTCTTTCTGTATTTGGCCAGTGTTTGATTGGCATGACCAATAAACACAAGTTTCTAGATTTTCTTTAATGAACCCAAACTTATCTTGCCCTGAGGGTCAGGGGCAACAAGGGAGCATTGCAGCAGGCTGGGGGTTCAGATCTTGCACCTCCAGGTCTGAACTACTAGCCAGAAGAGAATCTAGATGCTCTGTTGTGTTTCTTTAAGCCATAAATTCTGCAGAGATGATCCTTCTCTACCCCACCCCCAACTAGATGCTGACCCTCCAGTCACCCCCAAGTTACTGGTGGCTCAGGTTGAATCCAGTTGGCTCCAGAATTCTTCACTGCAAGTGAAGCTCAGAGGGTCTGGCTTGCAGTCTGGCAGGCCTGCCCTGATGGCTTTCTTCCTTGCTGGGCTCTGTTAGAGAAAAGCACACACATAGCGTAGGCAGGGACTGCTCTTCCCTGATACAGAAGGCATGAAATGTGAGCCCAGCAGGGGCTGCAACCTGCAGAGGACCCTGGGTGAAAACTATGCACTGCAGTGGTTTGTGAGGGAATAGTGGAGCAGAGTGATTGTTGAGTCCTGAGACATGATTTCAGAGAAATCAGAGCTGGAGGGTGAAGCAGTTAGATCCCATTCTCAGGAGAAAGTTCACAACCTTTCATTTTTTCCTCCCCATTTAATGCACTACATAAAAAGAAAATAATGTTGAATTGGTGACAAATTCTAGGCAATAACATCATACCTGGTGTGAGTTAGCAGTATTTAAAATCTTTGAGTTCAAAGGCTAGAAGGAATATTAGGGATAAGCTAATTCAATCAATTCTTGTTTCAGAGACAGAAATAGACCCAGAAAGGTTAAGTGATTTGTCTAGAGCTGCACAGATCAGTGTCAGAGCCTGGAGAAGGATCCCATGTCCTGCTACCTCTTACAAGATACTTTCCTTTTCTCTATATATTATATATTCCTCTTCTCTCACTTGGGAGTTTTGCGTGTAGTGCTGTCAACTTTTAAAAGGGGACTCTGCTCTGAATTTCAAACTGCCCTTGGAGATCGACCATATGGAATTAGATTCATAAATAGGAGAAAGTTTTTAAAAACTTAATCTCTTTTTTTCCTGCCTTCCTCCAGTTTAGAGTGCATGTGACAGAAGAAGGTGGTGGGAAGCACCTGTGACACAGGCACGGGGCATCCTTGAATGTACTTGGGAAAGGGGTATCTTAACCTAGTCTTTGCTCCCATGTCCCTGACACTACACAATATCCAGTCTTTGTAGACTCCCAAGCACTTTGTGGGAGGGTTGGGAACAGAGGGGCCAGCCCTCCAAACTAGACCTACTAGAATAGGATCTTAGAAAGTCAAGGTGAAAATTAGAAGCCATCTGCTTCAACCCAATCCCCATGCAATAATATGGAAGCTGAGGCATGATGACAGTTCCAAGTGTCAGAACTATATCAGTATCATCATTGTCATCATTTGTTAATCTCTTCCTCCATGGCAGGCCTTCCCATACGTTATTACCTTTAATCATCACACCAAAACCTTGAAGAAGGTCTAATGATCCCCATTCTACAAATGAGACAACTCAGGCTCAGAAAAATGAAAAACACTAAATTATCTCACAAAGTAGGAGCCAAGATAAAACTGGTGTTAAAGTACCTGAGCTCATTGTCTGATAATTTGTGTGTGTGTGTGTGTGTGTGTGTGTGGTACTGGGGTTTGAACTCAGGACCTCATGCTTGCTAGGCAGGCACTCTGCCCGTTGAGCCACTCCGCCAGCCCTGTTCTTGGGGGGGTACTTTTGAAAACTATTTACCTAGGCTGGCCTGGAACTGAAATCCTTCTTATCTCTGCCTCCACAAGTTGCAAGAATTATAGGCATGAGCCACCCATGCCCAGCATCTGATGATTCTTTAGTTATGTCTTGCTGCTTCTTGGAGAAACATAAAGCAAAATAGACACAATTAACTCTAGTGCCTCCTTTCCTCAGACCTGGGTACTTTTACAATAAACACATAGCTGCTTATTGGCTGTTTCTCCTCCAACTAGACTTGGGTATCGTGGTATACCTGGGCACTCCCCTGTCTATTCTTTCATTGAAAAAACATTCTACGACTGTTTGTTAAGTGTCAGTTATGTGTCAGTCACTGTACTGGTGACAGAAACATGGGACCAATGAGTGCATACCTGGAGCACTGTAATTAGCATGAAGCAAAATGCTTTCTAAACATCTCAGAAGGGGCTGGTGGAATGGTTCAAGTGGTAGAGCACCTACCTACCAAGTCTGAGGCCCTGAGTTCAAATTCCAGTACCACCAAAAAAAAAACCTTAAAAATAAACATCTCAAAAGCCATCCCACTAGCATTGGGCATTCCTCTGCACTCCTGTGGTGCTGAGAATTTTAACACCAAGGCCTGTGCGTGCCAGGCAAGGGCCCCACAACTGAGCTATACGCCCAGCCTACAGCATCAGATATATGAACAGCCAGGAGTTCTAGGACTTGACATTCCAGGGCCAGTTTAAGTTCTTAACTTGCCACTGTTGGTTATGTAATTTGGGGAAGCTAAAATTTTTAGCTTCTCTGAGCCTCAGTTTCCTCACTTACATAGGATTAAAATCCCTGCCCTGTGAGGATCAACTCAGAACAGGTCTGCAAAGTCACACTTCCTGTGTTAAGTTTTTCCTCCAGTGATTCCAGCAAACCTGTGGTTTTATCAAAATACTCAAAAGTTGGGTAGAGACTTCATCCCTAGTTATACCCTTCTTTTGGGGGATCTTTCTAGATCAGTGCAGTCAGTAGGTCTTTCTGCAGGGATGGAGATGTTCAACATACACTACATTTGCTGGTTGAGTACTTGAAATATGGCTAGTGCGATGTGGAACTGCATTTTTAATTTTATTTAGTTTTCATTAATATAAGTTGCCACAAGATTGGAGTCTGATGACCTGGGCTCTGCTAAGGAGGTTCCCCACCCCTATAATTCCTGCTTTGTTTTGTCTCACAAAAAGTCATCAACAGCAAGCAAAACTCATTCTTTTCTCCTGTTGATTAATTCTGTGGTCCTCAAACCTCAGTGTATGAGAATCACCTGGAGGTCTTGATAAACCCGGCCTTCTGGACCAACCCCCAGAGTTTCTGGTTAGGTAAGTCTGGTGGGGGCTGAGATGCTAATTTCTAACACATACCCAGGTGTTGCTGATGCTGCTGGTCTGGAGATCACACTTTGAGAACCACTGGCTGATTCGGCATCATGTTGGGAGACCACTATGCTGCAGTAGAATCTGTGGACTCAGGAGGCCCACTCAACACAAACGCCCAGGGTGATGGAACTCCCTGTGGGCTGGCTGCCCCTTGGAATCACCTACGGAGACTTTAGAATACCCAGTGGCCAAGCATCACCCCAGACCAATTTAATTAGAATCTCTGGGGGTAGAACCCAGACAAGAGTGTTTTTCTAATTCTCCCCAGAAGATTGCAATGTACAGTCAGGACTGGAAACCACTACACAGATATTTTATCTACTTAATAATAACAATAAATTTACTTCCTTTTATATCACAGAGGTATTGTGAGAAGCAGATGAGACTGTGACTGCTAAGGGGTTTTATAAACTATGGAACGCAAATGTAAGGATTATGGCACTGACTGGGAAGAGGCAGTGTGCAGATAATGGTGTCATTCCTGAGGAACAGGCTAACATTGCTCTCTGTGGCTTGCATTCCAGTACTGTCCCACTGACCAGGCTGCTGTAGGCACAGATGCCGAACATGTGCAGCAATTCTACAACCTTCTGACAGCCTCCATTGATGTCTCCAGAAGCTGGGCAGAAAAGATTCCGGGATTTACTGATCTCCCCAAAGAAGATCAGACATTACTTATAGAATCAGCCTTTTTGGAGCTGTTTGTTCTTAGACTTTCTATCAGGTAATTACTGTTATTTTATCTTCCTTCACTGTATCTTTCCTTTGAAGCAATTTGCAGCCTTCTGTTTATAGTGGAATCATCAGTGAATAGTTTGCTTAAGAAGCAAATATAAGGCTAGGCATGGTGGCTCACCCCTGTAACCCTACCTCCTCAGGAGGCCGAGGTAGGAGGACTGTGGTTTGAAGCCATCCCAGGAAAAAAGTTAGCAAGATGTCATCTCAACCGACCAGTCAGGAGTGGTGGTGTGTGCCTGTGATCCCAGCTAGTGGAGGACCCAGATCTAGCCCCACGCTCTGTAAAGCACAACACTCTCTATAAAATAATAATAAGTAAAGCAAAGAGGGCTTGGGGCAGGTTCACCTGTTAGCAAGAGTAAGTCCTAAGTTCAAGCCTCAGCACCACCCAAAAGAAAAGAGAGAGAGAGAGAGAGAGAAGCAAACATGAACTATGATCGGGCATTTGAAAACTGAGCAGAGGGATATGGAAAGAACACTGGAGAAGCATCAGGACCCCTGGGTTCTAGCCCCCATTCTAATATAGACTTACTGTAAGACCCCAAGCAAGTCACTGCCTCACTGGAAATTCAGCTTCCTTCTTTGTAAAATGAGGATGGATTTGTTGATGTCTGAAGTCCCTAGCAGCCCCATTGGTTCTGTGAAGACTCTCCTGGTGCACAGGGTATTTCCCAGGAGCATGGGAACACTGTGTCTACCCCATAGGTTTCCATTCCATGAGTTACTGTTCTAGTACTCCTGATAAGGCCCTAAAAATTCCACAGCATCATAATCTCCAGCATTTGCTCCAAGAGCAATGGATTCAAAGGTTTGTTCAGTGACACCAAACACAAAGAGGAAGTGATTTTCAAAAGCTTGAACTTCACACCTAAGCTTCTGATAAATGTTCCACAGATAGCCTTTTAAATTTTTTTTATGGGAACTGGAGTTTGAATTCAGGGCCTCACTCTTGCTAGGCAGGTGCTCTACCACTTGAGCCCAGCCCCCAGACCTCTTTGCTTTAATTATTTTTCAGGTAAGGTCTCATGTTTTTGCCTGAGCCAGCCTGGACCATGATCTTCCTATTCATGAATCCCAGGTAGCTGGGACTACAGGTGTGAGCCACCACTCCAGGCCTCAACATGTAGCCTTTTTAAACCCTCTCCCAAAGAAACCAGAAACTTCTGCTGAAAGTGCAGGCTCCCATGCTTCATTCCCATTTAATTTTTGTTTTATAGACCCTGGAAGTTTAACTCATGCTCTCATGATTCTGATGCCGGAGCTCAGAGACCAAGTTTAAATTCTGAGATTGAATAATTCTGTCCTATGGATGCCCTGTGTGGAGAGATCAGTGGGAGAGACAGACAGGGAGTTCCAACTAGAACTAGTAACAGGCATAATTCAATTTACAGCCAATCCAAATACACCAGAGCCAAGCAGCAATATGACTGTCATTGGTTAGGCATGCAGCAAAGTAGACAATAAGCCCCATGCAAGTGGGCACCATATCTGTCTGATTCACCAGGTTTGCTCTGGTGCCTGGCGCCAGGAATGGCACTTGCTTGGTGTTCAAGAAAGTACTTGTTCAGTGAAGGAATAAATAAAGCCATTTATCCCCAAAGCACAATTAAAGAGATACTGACTTGTGAATGCAAGTCCAAAATAGATAAATAGATAAATATGCAGCAAGATATTTGACAATTAAAGGAAAACTAAGATTCAAGTAAGGTCCCCCTAGATTACAAAATTCGTTCCATTTAATACTTTTTTGCATCTGCATGTTTTCTAAGTACTATGCATAAACATTCAAATCCTTGATTTTATTTAATTCCCTCAACAATTTTAGACGGTAGAAATTAGATTATTTGTCTTACAGATAAGGGAAAGGAAGTCCAAAGATCAAAGGCATGCCCAAGGTCACACTGCTAAGTGACAGTGTCCAACGAGAGGTTCTAGGGTGCCTCTCATGAGAGTAGAATGGGACTATTATGGTTGTGATGTAACCTATCAGAGAAGATTCTAAAATAGCCCTCTGTAGCCCATTTAAAGACAAGAAGGTAAAGCAACAGAAGGAGACATTTCGTGTTAGGGTGCTTTTTAGTTTGTGATTGACTTCCAATATTTTAAGGAACTTGATGCTTTTAGAGTCTGCACAATGCAGTTGCAGTGTCTAGCCTCAGGCCTTATCAGCTTTTGACATTGAAGAAAATGAGAAACCAATCCTGCCTTAAAATTTCATGTTTATTGCACAGAGAGGCAATGTGCAGGAAGAGGGACGTGGGTTTTACTTCCACAGTGGGTGAGTGCCTGCTCCTCCATTCTCCATCCCAGGGCAAGCCAGCAACTGATTCAGCAGTGAAACAGCAAGTGCACAGCCCCATCTTCCCCTGAGCTGAACCTCTCCAAGAACATTAGTGCAGACAAGTGGTGCTCATCTGGTCATGGTTTGCAGCACCGTAGTACGCTATGGTTCCGAATGCTGCCTTATGACTGCTTGTGTGTTATGATGTCATTATGTTGGTCAGACCAGACAAACCTGTTTAATATGTCTCCCCTTGTCTACCACCACCAGGTCAAACACTGCTGAAGATAAGTTTGTGTTCTGCAATGGACTTGTCCTGCATCGACTTCAGTGCCTTCGTGGATTTGGGGAGTGGCTCGACTCCATTAAAGACTTTTCCTTAAATTTGCAGAGCCTGAACCTTGATATCCAAGCCTTAGCCTGCCTGTCAGCACTGAGCATGATCACAGGTAAACCCTAACTACATTGCTGAAAACCAAAGAGATCCATCTCCTTTCTCTCCTATTCTGGGTCAAGGTGGATTCTGGCTTTGGGCATCACACACTCCAGAAAAGAAGGAAAATGGATGCCATTTTTCTTGAAATCAGCTACATTTAATCTAGTTAAACTAAGAAACATCTGTCTACAACTTGTCGTGAGCTACTAGGAAAAAGAATTTCTAGTCTATTGAGTTACCATTGTCAACAGACTTACTACGTGAAAATCAAACTCTCTACCACAGAGTTGGACTGGCTATTTCATGGTTGTTTTTACAAACATTTTCCAAGGAAAATTAACTTAGCCAGTCCATTCCTGTGGGACACAGATGGAGGGAGAGTCTTCCCCATTCCTAATCCTTGCCTAGTAACCTAACGTAAAACCAAAGAACCATAGGCATACAAAGGACAACTTGACTTACTAACTTTGGGAGAGGACTGAGAAAAATGAAATATTAGTAAAAACCAAAAAGGGCTTGACTCTACAGTTCTTGAAAGTTAAGAACCAAAAGCTTAAAAAACATAGTTTCTTTATTGTTTTATTCTCACTCTAGATGTCTGTGTTTTGGTAGCTAAAGGATCCCCAGGAAGGCTAGGGATATAGCTCAGTGGTTGAGTGTTTGCCTAGCATGCATGAGGCCCTGGGTTCAATCCTCAGTACCATAAAGAAAAGAAAAAAAAGGATTCCCATGTTGGACAGCAAAGAGAATATTAGCCATCTTCCTGTGGCTGTTGACGCCCAGTTCCCTTCATTCCTCATACTGATAGAGTTTCCTGTCAGAGCTCATCCTTTTCAGTCAGACTGGAGCCAGGTGAGACAGTGACAGAGGACAAGGGCTCCAGAAGGGGCAAGCCAGACCTAAGGCTCATCCATGTCCCTTTGATCAGACCCAAGCACAAGCTAGGCTGTTGAGCTGATGGTAAAGTTCAGATATGACACACTCCTGGCTGGAGGAAATGTTTTTCAAGCATATGGTGAGTGCATCTCCAGAAGCCCGAATGTATCCTCTGGCACAGATGTCCCCTTTCCTCTGATGCAGTAGAGATATGTGTTGGTTTACTCAAGCCCCAGTTATCTGTACCCTTTTGGGACATCTCTTATGAGTCAAAGTGAGTTGTGTCTGTATTCCTTCAGTGCCGGGCTGATCATCATGTTGGTGTACATGAAACACAAAGCAAAGTAAATGCATGTGCTGCAGTTGGGAACCAGACTCTGGTTTGTTCCCTTTCATTTCAAGTGGAGCCTGACTTCCTTCTGTTCTTTGGTCTTGGATGAAAAAACACTTCTTTTAATAGAACTGCCATAGACTTCCAAGAGGGCCATTGATGAACCAAAAGTAAAGGCGGTCTCAGAGTATGAATTCCACTTAGAGGGCTTTCTGATGTCATACCAGAGCTCATTAAGAAAATAAGCACATTTAAATAACAAGTGTATCATCCCAAAAGGATTGTAATGAAACTATCCAAAAGCTACCATTGCATTAAAACTCATCAGCTCAGTTTCAGGACCGTTCAGCTATTCATAGGACAGTTAGACATTCAAAACTGGAAAGTATGGAGTTTAGTTCACTTTAAAAAGAAAAAAGCCAAAAACCAGAGCCAGCCTTGGCTTTCTGCAAATAAAACCTGTCTATTGCCACATGTCTCTGAACACAAGAGTTGAGTCTAGTTAATCAGCACATATTCGCTGACCTGGACACCACACCACATGTCACTGGATTTGCAGAGATGATGACACACCTCCCTAGAGGAAACAGAACATGCAAGCTAATGCATGTGGAGTCAGGGTGCTGAGTGCCACGGTAGAGACGTGGCTTTGGTACAAAGTGCTAAGAGACCATAAGTGAAGGTGGTCGTCTCAGAAAAGATCGCTGAGGCCAGTCCTTGATAGGAGCAGAGGATGTTTCCAGGCTAAAATAGAAGGAGTGAGACTTCTAGGCATAAAAAAAAATTGCTAAAGCCATTGTAAATATGGCTTGCATAAGTTTCAGGAAGGAAACAGCTGAAAAACAGAGTGATGGGAGATTCCACTTGGTTAACAGGTAAGGGTGGGGCAGGACACGAACCTTCCACTCCTAGGTAAGGCAGGTAAAATTTATCTTGAGAGAAGCGAGGGGAACCACAGAAGGCTTTGACCATAGAAACGTGATAGCCAGATTTGCAATTTAAAAAGATCTACCCTGACAGCTAGTTTTCAGCACAAATTGGGGCAGAAACAGAGTAAGAGGAAAACAGCCAGTTCCTCAGTGTGAGTGCTGTAGTTTAAGAGTAAGGCCTGCTCTGGAGGCCTACATGTCTTTTTGTTTGTTTGTTTTACCCTTTAAGTGAAAATTAATGCACAATGAAGGGACCAGAACATGTGGGTGTGAGGAAACCCCAATGATTGGCAGTTCAACACAAAGTACAGAATAGGAAAACAGTGGTGTAGTCTCTGCAGCCCATTTGTTCTGTGCCCTGTAGTCAGAGCTGCTCAGCCTGCTGCCTACCCATGTGCAGATTTGCTGGAGGAAGTCTGGCATGGCAGAAGTAGCATGGACTTTGGAATCAATCCAGCATCCCCTCATTAATCTGGAGTCCCATGTTTAATAAGCATGTGCTATTGAGTAATGCATTTCATCTCTCTGAACTTCACTTTTCCTCATCCATAAAATGGGGATAACAGCCTCTATTCCATGGGGTGGCAGTGTGGATTACAGAAAATTGGGTTTGTGATGTAGCCAAACTGGATTCAGGGTAGATACTCAATCCATTTATGTTCCTCATGAGAGCAAGGGGGAGCAGAGACTCCCTCAAATTAGGCACATGCCTGCCCCTTGCCCTTAGAAACCCTGGGTAGTGCAAAATCAAACTCAGTGTCGTGAGGAAATAGGTAGTGACTTTTAAAGGCAATTGTTTGGTGATTATTTCCTTGGATACTTGAGAGAGAAGCTCAAAGGAAAATAATAATATAAAATAACAAAAGCTGCACTTGCAACAGGCCATGTGCTTTTATGGTGGTGTTTTGAGGCCCCCATCATGGAGCAGCTCTAGTTCCTGCCCTCACTCCTGCCAGCCTGTGCAGAGCAAGCTGAGGTTGAAACCTGAAAGGAAAATAATCCCTGTGCTCTCATTTCTGGACCTCACAGCACTCTTGGGATTTGTTGGCTGGGAGGAGGATTGAAATACATGGAAGCATCAGGAAATGGTGATGCCTGCGGTGCCTGGAAAGTACAGCACACTGTTGTGAATATCCACTTTCATTCAAATATTAACTCCCATGAATCTTGGCTTCTAAATAAGCTCCCTCATCATAGACAGTGATTGTGTAATATCAGCTGGGCTATTGGTATTGGAAAATTCGTTCCCAAGGCCAGTCACAGTGGTACATGCCTGTAACTTCACCTACTCAGGAGGTAGAAGTAGGAGGATTGGTGGCAGGCTCCTGGCAAAAGCACGAGGTCCTGTCTGAAATATAAACTAAAGCAAAAAGGGCTGAGGGCATGGCTTAAGTGATAGAACACTTACCTAGCAAGTGCCAGGCCCTGAGTTCAAACTTTAGTATTACAAAAAAGGAGAAGAAAAGAAAAAATACTCAGCCAGTCTTTCTTCCAGCAAAAGTGCTTAAAAGCTGAGTAATTTTGACAGTTTACCTGAGTAACATTGACAGTTTACCCAGCATAGCTTTTTTTTTTTTTCCTAAGTCTTTTTTTCTTCTTCTTCCCCTTCTCTCTAGGACCCCCTCACAAAACCTAGGTGGTGAGGTGGGGCAGGAAATGGTTTCTTTCAGATCATTCTCCCTTCCTACAGTACTACTGTGGGAGTTCCCACAGTTGTGGTTTTCAAATGTTTTTAGGTCCTCAGTGTATCTACCCTAACCACTGCCTTTTGCCAGTGCTACATCCCTGCAGTTAGGTACATGCTTTACTTCTGATAGGAAACCAATATATCAATACCTGATGCTGCTGATTGTGTTAATAATAAGAAGCCCTCCAAACAGAAAGTTAGTGTGAAATTGCTACTTTATAAATGTCCATTATTAAATATAAGCATCGCAGGCCTACGTGTGCCTTCAAATTCTCTAGGAATTTGAAGATGAGCCAGGCATGAATTCTGCTATCAGAAAGTAGATAGTCTACCAAAAATCATATATGATTATGACATAATGAACTTAATGTGTTGTGATTAGTGCTCTGGTGCTTAACAGGGACAGATTCACTGCAAGGGAAGTCCACATAATTGCTGATTTTTGGAAGTGGCCAGGCACAGGTGGGTCATGCCTGCAATCCTACTCAGGAGACAGAGATCAGGAGGATTGTGGTTCACAGCCATCCTGGGCAAATAGTTCTTGAGACCATGTCTTGAAAATACCCAATGCAAAAAAGAGCTGGTGGAGTGGCTCAACTGGTAGAGCCTAGTAAGCATGAGGCCCTGAGTTCAAACCCCAGTACCACCACAAAAATAAAGGCAGAAGTGTTGGTCCCAAATGACTTCCACAGCAGTAGCATCTAGATATGGGAAGACATAAAGAACATTCTAGGTCAAGGAACTGAATGGAAAGGCATGACTATGGAACACCTCAGCACATTTAGGGGGCAAGCATGTGTGGTGAGTTGCATTATACATGTGTTAAATAACATATATGATCTGAGTAGAAAGAAGAAAAAATTAAGAGTGCAGGCTGTTGCTCTCAGTGATCATATGTTTTGGGGTGAGCATCAGAGAGAAGACATGAGCCTCCTGAGGGTCATGGTTTCATTGCCTCTGGAGGTAAGAGCTGAAAGCATGTTCCGTTTGGGGCTATCTAAAGGATTTTCAAGGAAACGACTGATTCTGTGAGGTATTTATATACCTTGCAGCCTGATCTTATGACCTAACCCAAGAATAAATGCATCTCCACTATAGTAATAAGGGAAATAGGATTAGAAAGGTCGTTCTGGGACCTCATTTTGTCCAAACCTCATTTTGTGAATCACTACACAAAAAGAATGTTCCCC